GTGCCTGAGTTGAGATGAGAAGAATTTTTAGCTATTTCAATCATGCAGCTTCTTTGCTTTTTATTTTTAGGAAATTTTATTGAAAGTAAGAGACTAATGACATCACATAAAGATGCTTTGTTCAGATTTATTCATCTGAACATTAGACAGCTTCCCCAAGTGTTAACAGTATAATATCATCCTGGGTATTCTTTCACCATTTATTTCTCTTTGTTAAATAAATTATAAAATAATGTGTTGATTTAAACAGATTCTTTAAAATTTTGAAATGGACTGACTGTTCCAGACAGGAAAATAGTATAAGGTTTTTTTCTAAACATATTTGACCACAAAATCATCTACTTAAGCACATTTTAGGAGTAGGTGTTCCCCAGAAGATGTGTTGGCAAATTCATTTTAGGTGGTTGTTAGGTGAGCTAACAATCAGAGTGTGACTAACGCTCTGAAGAAGGAGGTTCAGAAGAAGGAATGATCACTGACTGGGTGAAGAAAATCAGTGGAGGCTTCATGAAGGAGGCATCTGAGCTGAGCCATGAACATTGAGGGAAATTTTGATGGGCAGGATTGGTATGTGAAAGCTTTTCAGTCGGAGGAAGAAGCATAAACAAGACCATAGAGAAGGGAAATCACAAACTTTTTTTCAAGAAATGGCAACTGTCCCTTGTTACATTTGCAAGAGACTCTTCTTAGGCTCAACCAACATTCACTGGATAATCACAAACCACACTTGGTCACAGACTACTCAAAAGGATATAGGATAGGAAAGATATAGCATCAGGCTTTCTGCTTTAGAGTCATAGTCATAACAACAGTCTATGAAGCCATCTATACAGCTGTTTATACAACTTTCCTGCTGCTGTTTTCTTTCCCCTTCTTCTCCAAGTGACAACTCAGGTTTACGGGAAGGTATTGGTTGGAAGGGGTCTCCCAGTCGCATAGTGGTAAAGGAGTCTTCCAGACATAGAAGCTCTATGCCTCCCTGAACCAATAGCTTTTGTTACAACTTCATGCTCATAGCTTCCAGCATCCCTAGAGGGGACATGTACAGTTACAAGCATCACCATACTTAAGTGCCAAGTGTGGTTTATCTCCAGGTATTTATAATTTCTCCCCATCTAGATGTAATTTACCTGCCAGAGATCATTTTAAATCATAAGCAATGTTGCCTACAGCTGAAATAATATCCAAGGGAATAGATATTGAATATTAACCAAAGTTCCAATTCTTATTCAGAAGATCTACTTTTTATACCTATACTCACCCCACCCCAACCCCCATCTCTCTCTTTTTATTGGGGAAGAGGCAGACACTGATCCAATTCTGGTCATAGATTGATTTTGAAAAGATGGTCAAAGTAGGAGTTTCTAAGGAGAAGCCATTGATTGTATCTAGAAGAATAAGAGGCCAGCTATATGAGGAGCCAGGCATGAGCATCTCAGGCAGAAGCAACAGCAGATATAAATACCATGAAGTGGCTGACTTTGTATACCCAGCTCTTAAATTTCAAAGTAGCAAAGGGGACTGGGACAATTTTTGTGGGATCTTGAATTCCAAACTCAAGAGTTTTGACCCAGTAACTTCCAGTTTTTCTGCTCACTATATCCTACCTTAAACAAAGCACAGAAAAAGACATGTTTGGTGCAAAAATACATAAATATATAAATATAACACTTGAATAGATTTCAGTGTATGTTTTAGAACCACTGAGAAGTTTAAATTAAGAAATAAATGTGTAGCCATCTTCAACACAGGATTAATCATCTGAAATAGAAATGACTGTGCTCTTTTAATCCATGGAAGTAGGCAGGTCTTCCTTTCCCTTTACTCCTTGTACCTTGAAGCACCCTATATGAATGATAAGCTTGTAATATTATAAGGTTTAGTCTCATATAGTCCATGTGAGAAATAAATATCTCATAGTAATAATGATAACCATCTGTTTTTTATTATGTAAATGTTAAAGCAGTATATGTTCCAATATTCTAGTGAAAAAAAAGGACATAATTTTCCAAATGATATTTCTACATAAGGAATCCCTGAGGTTTCACCCCATGGTTCTTTCAAGTAATGGTTGTTCAAAAGGCAGAAAGCAACAGGTGATGAAACTTTTTTTCTGTACTGAGTGTAACTCTTGAGTATTACAAAAAGATGTAGCACTTTGCACTTACTTGAAGTCCTTAATAATTGTTCAGTGGGTTTATGAATATCATCACCAGATTCCATATCTCAGGACACAGTGCCTGTACAAGAGCCTGTGGTTCAGTAGCTACCCCACCTGGAGACTGCCTGCTGTAGTAGGAATCTATGCTTCATGGCATTGATGCTCTCTCAAGTTCCCACATAACTCACTTAATCAGCCTCTCAGCCATACCTGACCTATCATCTGCTTTCCATAATGACAAGCAGCTCATCTGACAAACTGACTTGGGCAATATGGGTGAATGGTGGGGAAGAGCTGCATTTTCTTCCTCCAGGCAACATGATCAAGCTAGAAATGGAACTTAAAGACAATGCTTATGCACCACTCTCTCCCATCCTACATCCATGACTTTCAACTTCTATGACACATCTAATACATGGCTTTATGAACTCTGCCCATGGAAAGTCTTAGCCTACAGAGACGGCACAATCAGACAAGCCAGCAGGATATTTCTGAGCTGGACTCTTGTCTCCTCAGAAAGGAAAGGCCTGTCACATCTGCCTTTCCATATTCTAGCACATAATAAAAATCTCCATATCCATTGCCGATGTGTTAAAACCAATTGTGGTAAGCTCCCCTTACAGTCTGGTTTAGGATGCTTTTCATGTTCGTGTTTGATGATTAAAAACACACCATCAGGAGTCCAAGAAAATAAATTTATTAAAATTTGAAGGAAATAAATCCACAGACATAAGGAAAGTTAAATATAAACCGCAGGACACAACTAGTCATACTAGTGAATAATGGCTTCTGTGGCCAGCAAAGTACCAAAATGACATTCTGAGACCGATTGAGGTATTTAGCTATTTTTGGCTATAGAAATGTTGTCAGCCTATTGTGAAATTGTAAGATAGTTCTTCCAAACACACAACTTTAAGTAACTTTAGGTTCTACACTGATGATATTTAATATGAAACTAAATTATGTAGCTCTTGGAGAAAACCATAGCAGCAAGGTAGCAGAAATCTATTAAACATCTATTATAAAGTAACATGTTGAGCTTTAAACACCCATTCTAGCCTTTCATTGTCCTTCCTGCAAGAAAGAGGGAATTTAAAATTATCAACCATTAAGCTTGCTTCCTAAAAAAGTCTGAGCTAAATGGCAAATACTGTTTAAGTTAAAGCTAACGTCAAAATTTTACGATTCCCCCCAAAATGAGAAGAGATTCTTCTCTTTTAAATAAACCTTTTGGTGTGCTATTCCAATGCTCCTAAGAATGATGTTTAGGATATTAAGGGATTGGGAAATAACTTAAAAATTACTCAGCCTCTTCTTTTTCTTCTGACTACCTGCATTGAGGCCAATTCACTCAGAGAGGAAACAAAAAAATAACAAAACTTCTTTTACTATTTTAAATAAATTCTATAGAAGGTTTGGTGAGAAGTAATTACTTTGGTTTAAGTAATTTTGAGTTAATTATGGGGATTAAAAACTTTGTCCCTTGTTACCATGAAAAATGAGTATACCAGGGGGGAACCCCCCCAAAACAGGATTCATTTATTAAAAATTGTATATTCATTCATGTTTGTACATTCATTCATGTTTCAACTTCAGTCACCTTCAAAGTACTCTCTGATGTACTACACCTACCAAGATGCTTTTTCCATTGCTCAAAACAGTTTTTGGTGCCTTTTAGTGTTTCTGACATTTTTGTTTCACCTCTTCAACACTGGCAAAATATTTCTCTTTGAGGACTTTTTCATCCAAGGAAACAAAAAAACATCACTGAGTGAGATCAGGTGAATAGAGAGGGTGGGGTACTGTAGTCATGCCGTTTTGGGTCAAAATCTTTGAACACTCAGCACAATGCGGTCAGGTGCACTTGGGCAAACATGTTAAAAGAATCCCCCCCCAAAATTCACTGAAGCCAAAAGCAGCCCCTCACAATAACACTAGCTAGTACACTGATGCTAATGAGTTCCTAGAATGCTTATGTAACAAGGGGAAAGCCTGTACAACATGGGGCTTGCTCTCCAAAAATAATTCTGTTTTTTTGGCGGGGGGGTTCCTCTTCGTATGTGTCTGGTTAAAGGCTGTGAAACAAAAACCTATTTCTTGAACTCTTTGTTCCATTACCGGGTTAACTTCATTTGACCTGCTTCAACCTACACAATGCTTCTTGTACCTTATTCCCTTCTTAGGTAACTAAGAAACCAAATCAAGTTGAGTTTGAAGAAGTTCCACTGCAGAGGTTATAGAACTTGTCTCTTATAATCTGCGTTCACTGAAAAACTCACTCCACGTGCAATGCAGCATCTAAGCATCCTGGTCAACATGAGCCAGTTAGTTTCTACTTCTTTTAGCATGTAGTTCTCTTGCATGAGCTAAAAATTTGGTAAAGAAAAGTTTTGTCTTTGTTGGTCTTTTTTTTTCTTGTTTTTACTTTTTTTTCTGGTTCATGGTAAGTTGATCTGTGCAAACATTTGAAAGTTTTCTAAATTAACAAATCTGCTTAAAAATTCAGATAAAATAAGTATGTTTCAATAATGCAGATGACTACAGTCATTTTAGGATTGTTTAAGAAGTTTGTGGAGGTATAAAAGGGCTTTGTAAAAAACTAACTTGCTTATTTATTTTTCTTTAGGTGCATTGAAAAGCATTAAACCAGCTTTAAACTGTAGTTGCTACATTCCTTAGGTGGGTTGTCACAAACTACAGTACACAGTGTGTAGTGTAATATAAAATAGTCATGCTTGAAGACTAAATTATTAAAAATATCTTTATCAATTTTATGTCAAAATAAATGTTTTACATATCCAAACTATTTTTGCTTTCTTACCTGTGGTCTTAGTCCCCAATTATTTAAAAAAGAAAATAATTAGCCTGTGCTATGATTTGCACTCAATTTTCCTGAACTGTAAAAGCCACCTGATTTTTTTTTTTCTTTTTCAAAAAGCATGATTTACTATACATTAAAAACACAGTCATTCAATGCTTAGTATCACAAAATTAACACCCACAATAACAAGACAATCACTGCCACTAAAAGTCTTTGAGACAATTCTTTAAAATATTTACAATGCACAACAGGAATATCTATCTGATTAATCATTCTTCTCATTTTTTCTTTTTAATATCATGTTTCAACATTTCAGAAAAGGCATTTAGAATCCACATCCCATCTACCCACCCCCTCCAAAGGTTTAAACATTGTTTTGGTTTAAGCATTCATGCCCTAACCGATTCTTTGCCATTAAATACATAGCTCTTGAGAAATCAAAGGCTATGGCATAATTTTGTTCAGTTGGTCTGTGCTCACATAGCCACATGATGAGAGAAACTCTTTGTCAGGCAAGGGCAAGGCAGTCGCATTGAGTATGAGGCCCTGTGGAGACTGTACTATATGTATGGTGGTATAGTCTGGGACAGGCATCTCAGAACCCGGAGCACATTCTGCTGTCCCAGACTTCCCAGCAGTAGTGGTAAGGCTTTCTGTGGTGATATAAATGTCCTCCTGGTTAAAGCTTGGCACTACCTGTGATTTGACCTCGATGTGAGGGGTCACAGGAATGCACTTTTTGGCATCTGCTTCGCAGAAATAGGCATTGTCCATGATGAAGTTTGCTTGGCAGAGTGAGACCACTTCTGGATGCATGTCGCACTGGGATATCCCTGCCTTGCTCTTTTGACCCGGGGAAAGGACCACACTCCCTGCTGGTGTAATGTCGCTCACCTGGGCATAAAAGTCGATATTTGCCAGTGAACTCAGGTTGCTTAGCTGAGTATGGGCAGCTTGATGAGTTGACTCAGTTCCACCAATAAAAAGTGGCCGTGGTTTGTTTTCCTCTGCTAGGACAACACTGGGCTGTTGAGTAGCAGGGGAAGCATCAGGATAAGGTGAGTTATTTTGATTCTTCTGGTCAAGGCACAAGAGATCTGCTTCCCCTTTTAACCTTTGTGGCTGAGCAATCTCTGAGGTACCATCACACACATCACTGGCATTGAAATCAGCCTCCAGAATGTCAGGTTCATAACAGCTGGTACGTCCAGAGTCGTCATCCTTTGCCCCAAGGATATTAAGTGATTTCTGATGATCATTGCTTAGAAGTCTGTCTGTGTCTGATCCTTCAGTCTTTTCATCAGGGTCATCAATATCTAGCTCAATAAATTCAACCCAAGAGTCATCATTGTAGAATTCAGGTTTATAGTCATCATGAATGGCTAAGATTGTGTTAACCTCCTCTAATTTTCCTTCCTAGGAATCAGAAAGAAAATGAAGATGTATGAAAAGAACCTTATAATGATGAAATAGCTTAGCAAATAATGTTCAGAGATTAATTATGATTACAGTAAGAACAGTTGTAACTAAACATATAACAAAAAACAAGTGGAGAACTTTTAAATATAATGTGATATTTTTCTCACTTTAAGAGATATAATTTTTGGCCAGGCGTGGTAGCTCAAGACTGTAATCCCAGCACTTTGGGAGACTGAAGTGAGGGGATTGATTGCCTGAGCCTGAGGGTTCGAGAACAGCCTAGACAATGTGGCTAGACCTCATCTCTACAATCAATCAAAAAATTAGCTAGACGTGGTAGTATGTGCCTGTAGTTCTGGCTACTTGGAAGGCTGAGGCAGAAGGATCTCCTGAGCCCAGCAGATTGATGCTGGGGTGGCTGTGAGCATGCCACTGCACTCCAGCCTGGGTGACAGAGTAAAACTCCAACTCAAAAAAAAGAGAGAGAGAGAGAGAGAGAGAGAGAGATGTAATTTTTAAAGTTCTCTAAAAGATGAGGTACAAAAAAAATCAAACATTATACATATAGCTTACTAAAACTCTCAACATATTACAGTATTTATCAGGTATCAGTTAGTGTTGTCTATAATTTAGACATTTATTAATTACCTTGAGGAGATCTGGATCAATTCCTTTAATCTTTGGAACTGGAACTGGAGGCAGAATCAGCATCTTAATCCTTGAAAACAAATAGAATTCTAGTTTGACATAACTTAAAAGTCACATATTTTCTTATTTCAAAAGGTAGAAATAAGGGCTGGGCACAGTGTCTCATGCCTGTAATCCCTGCACTTTGGGAAGCTAAGGCAGGAGGATTGCTTGAGCCCAGGAGTTCAATATCAGCCTACACAACATCGCAAGAGCTTGTCTTTATAAAAAAAATAAAAAATTAGCCAGAAATGACAGCATACTCCTGTAGTCCCAGCTACTCGAGAGTGAAACGCTGACTCAAAAAAAAAAAAAAAAGAAAAAAGAAATAAAACATTGGCAATATTATTACTTTTCCAAATACTCTGGTATTTTACATGATTGGAATATGGAGAAGAGAAAGGAGATATTAAACAGTAAATGAAAAAGAAAAATTGTAGAAGAAAGGAAAAGAACAACAAAAAAGCCCTCATCTAAAGTCTATTTAAATTAAATTTGATTTTCTGATAATCTCTTAATGCTATTTATTGACAGTCAACTTTAGTATTTGAGAGTAAGAAATTTAATTCCATCTGAAGCTGATTTCCACATCAGCTACAAGGAAGGCAATTTTAATGCATAACTCATCAATAATTTGTAGAGAAGAGAAAGAAAGAGTCAGTCCTTATGGATCCAAGATTATTTGCACCCTTAAAAAAAGGTGAACTAAGATAAGTTAGCACTATATCATTCATTCTAATCATAAAATTATCTAAGATGATCTCATTAACCAGGATGTTACTTCAGGGTTCATTTCAGATGGAACAGACTAAATTAGAATTATATCTAACTAATCAGCATAGATTCATATATACAATTTTATGATGCATTTGCATGTTCTTTTCCTAATACTTAAATTATTTTCTTTGTCACAATTCATGTCAATGTCTACCCTGCCTGTCTTTTGCCTTGTTGTATGCCCAGTACATACATAGTACAATTTTTGGCACATGGAAGTTGTTCAATAAGTGTTTCTTGAATAAGTCTGAACAAATCATTTATCTATTTTGTTAATAGTGCAACTGGAGTTTGTGTTTTAAAATAAACATTTTTAGCTTTGGAAAAAAAGTTCAGAGATTATTCATTCCAACTAATGAGAATATTCATTTCATTGCTAAAAAAAACTTCTAAGTGTTCAAAGATCACACTATTGGACAGAGATGGTAACCTGATTTTTGGATATCAGGTGCTATTTCACTTAGTGTGAATAGATAGTCTGGTCTATTCATTGAAGAATACATTATGTGAACATTCCTGCCTGCCATTTTAATCCAAGGAATAAGCTAAATTCCATTTTATAAATTGCTTTGAGTAGACTCTACTATGCTTTACTCAGGAGGGAAAGTGTTAAAACAAACTGTTACTGAACAGCAGATCTAGAAGTCAATAATACAGATTATTAAAATAAGCATCATTTTTTAATGCTTCTGATAAATAAGACATTGTGAGATGTACTTTGCACTAATGACCTGTGGGCCTGTGCACTTGTTTTCATAAATAAAGTTTTATAAGAACACAAAGATCTTTACTTCTTTATATTGGCTTTGGCTGCTTTCATGCCACAGTGGCAGAGTTGAGTAGTTATAACAGAGACTATATAGCTCAAAAATTATCATCTGACTGTTTATGAAACAAGTTTGTTGACGCCTGCACTAACCATTTCATTTTGATCCTCACAACTACCAAGGAGGCAGATGACGTTATCTGTGCAAAGATTTAGAGAATTAAAGTCCAGGCTCTTTACTTCCTATAATTAGGGTTATGTTATAGCTTTTTACATTTTTGAGAATTTGAAATACACATTTAGAGATGAAGAACCAAATAACACAACAGCATGATAGGCAAAGGTTCCCAAAAGGCTAATATTTGATGTTGTGATGTGTACCTTTCTTTTTCAACGAGGATGATGCGTGTAGGCATATGTTAGTGATTTTCCAGGAGCTGTAGACCTTATGTTACAGTGACAGACTTTACACCTAAAGAACCCAAGCAGGCCATGCAAATGCATGAAGGAGGCCAGCTACAAAGTCATCAGGAGGAATGAGGATGGTGACAAACTGGAGAGCGTATGCCCTTCCCAAATGAGACAGCTGCTTCTCTGCTTCAGGACATGCTGCCATGCTAGAATATCAGTCTAGTTTCACTAGATCTTTCAGTTTTAAAAGATAATCTAGAAATATGGATTTTTGTGTGATAATTCTCTATTTTATAAAATACTTTGTAGCAAAATATTTGCTCTACAATAAAAACTAAACAAAATAAGATAACAAAACATGGACCAGTAGTCTGAATTTGGTTTTTAGTTTGCAACTTTTGTTTTACGCTTATTCAGTTACTTATTCCTCAATGAGTAATAGCTGGAAGGCTGGGTGGGTTGTAGGTTGGAAACCAATATAAAGAGAACCTGGCATGTAACTGTATTTGTGGCTTTATGTTCAAATATAAGTTACATTATACATTTTGCTAAAGTTGACTCTTCATTATCTGGATTAAGATGGGATGAAGTGTCTTGGATAATAAATTGTGGTCTCACAAAACCTCAAAAACATGTAGCACCTGAAGCCCTTCACAGTCCTAGCTATCTAGGAAAGACCTAATTCTTTGCATATCGTTTCAATGGTAGGCTACGTGTTCTCTCCTTGCCTGCTGACAATTACTTTCCACTATTTCTTACTTTTAGTAGAACGTGTAAATTTAGACAATGATAAGGTTTATAAGGGCAAAGAGAAGGAAAAAGTTAATTCTTTTTAACAAAAACTCAGTCTAGCACAGAATATTTGAGAGTACAATAAAGATTTCAAATCAATTTTATAATTTGGTGATTTTAACCAAATATTATAGTTAAGAACTTCATTATTCCTTAAAAAAAAGCCCACTCTTTTAGACAATCCTATTTGTTGAGAGAATGATTTTTCTCTCAAATATTGTTAGCTAATATAATCAAACAATATAATAAAATGACTTGGACTTCACAATGACTGGAAATTGACAGTGAATGTTCAGAGCAAATTACTTTATGTTCATAGTGAGCTTGTCACTGAAGTTATGTATAAGTTATTTCACCAAATGTACAGATCAGTGAACTCCATTTAATCAACAGAATAATTCAGCTCTTTTGTTGTTGGCACTACTTAAATACAAAAATTCCTTAAAACTAAAAATACACTTTTAAAATTTATGTTCCCCAAGCAATTGAAAACTGTGTTGTTCTGATTTATAACAGTTGTCATTGTAAAATAGAAATGTTGCCAGGGAATTAGATGCAAAATGAAATTCTTCAGAATGAATTTTGCTTTACCATTAGTTTACATTATAAAATTGGACGCAAGTCTCTATTGAAAATAATCCTTTCTGCACTCAGTTGGAGACTTTTAATATGCTTAACACTCTGGAATTCTAGCATTCCAAGAATTCTTTTTAATAAAATTCTATTTTTGAAGTATACAAATGCTCTCAAAAAACAAATTAAAATATTTTATAATATATTCATATATATTTAATTTTGATTTGTAGACTTTTGGCTTCAATTGGAGAACTTGTTTTAAATTCGGTAAGGTGACTGTGACCAATTGTCTTGGTTGCATGAAACAGATTTCCTGGGACATAGGACTTCCCATGCTAAAACCAGGAGAGTCCTAGGCAACCTAGACTGTTAGTCATTTTTTCCTATATTTTGTGTAAAAGATTTTCTGTGGTGTGTATTGAATTTCTTTTAGAAGAAAAAAAAGAATAATAGCATCTCACACCTCAAGGTAAATTTAAAGTTCATATAACCCACATTCTCATGTTACCCACAAGAATATAGATGCTTAGAGAGGTTAAGAGACTCAAATAAGGTCAAACAGCATTGGCAAAATAATAACTGGAAACGTAAATCCTTTGAATCCAAGATGAGACAGCATAGAATCTCTTCAAACTTAAAAATAATTTTAGCTGTGTTTACAAATGCAGGTGAAATAAAAAATCCTAATTACTCAAATAATTTAAATAAAACCATAACTTATTTGAAATCACCATCAAATGGTTTTATTAGATTAAATTATCTAGGTGGCTTTAGTTTGCCACTTAAATTTTCCTGTACATAAAGATTGTGTCACATTCAGTCAAAGGCACAGTGATACTCTGGGGTCCTGCAATGAATGGGTCAACTTGCTAGGGTCTTTAGGGGAAGAAGTACCTCTTTGATAAAGAGGTGTATATCACAAGGTGTGCACAGTCATTAACTTACGCCTCTTAATGTCCTATACAACTTCCCATATAGAATTTCTAAACCTGTGCATTTTCTATGATGAACACAATAACTTAAGTCTTATATAAATAGCAAATGTATAATTAGAGATAAAAAAATTTACTGGGTTAATTAAATTTTCCACTCATAATTTTTGTTATTTTTATTTTTATTTATTTTTTGTTTGCAGAGATGGTGTCTCACTCTGTTGCCCAGGCTGGTCTCAAACTCTTTGGCTCAATCAATTCTCTTACTTTGGCCTCCCCAAGTAGTGGGATTACAGGCATAAGCCACCATGCCTGGCCTCCACTTATAATTTTCAAAAGAAAATATCAAATGACAAATGGTAATACACATAGCAATCTAAACAACTTCCTTCATTAAGGAAGACTATTTCACACGTACCTTTGCTGTTTAGAAAATATGAATACAAATAGCATCACCGTTAGTCCAAATATTACAAAGATGATAATTAAGAACCATGGAAACCGGAAATCTGAAACACACAATAATATTTCATTCACAAAATTATGAATAGTTGAAACAAAATTCATTTTCCTTTGTATATAAAAATATTTCCTAATTTGTATTCTAGTGAAGTCAGTGATTTCACTTGATAACCACTGAAACAGAATGCAATGAGTTTTTCCTTTTCTAAGAACGTTTCTGTCCGCTTTTCCAATCCTTTTATATAAAAAAGTCAAAATAAAGAAATTGCATACAGTTCAAATACAATTAATATTTTTTTAAAAAAAACAAAAACAGCTTTAAGCATCTTATGTGTCCAGAAAATATAATAAAGGTTTTATTCAGCTTTAGGAAAAAAATGTATTGCTGGTTAACACACTACCTAGATAATGCCCACTTGGTTCCTTTCCTTTATATCTTTTTTTAAGTGTGATGCTATTTCTTAGCCTCCAGATTGAGGATCTCTCAAAAACATAGGGGCAGAGTTTTATTCATGAATTATAACAAAAATTTCTTGGGCGTGTGAAGCATATATTTTACATATTCAAATATATATTAACATATTAAATTAATAATATTATATCTATGTATATCTCCTTTGACAGAAAGACCACTACTGAGGCTCCTATCTTCAGGTTTTGGCATACTTTGTATCAGATTTATGGAATCTGGTAAAACTTCTATTTTATTCCAAAAGAATAAGTGCCTTCCAGATACCCTGCAGTTGGCTTTCAGTATCTTACCATGGTGGCAGAGGCTAATCACTTTTTAATAAGTAAGACAGGTGGAATTTACCTAAATGCTGCTTTTTAAAAAGTAGGCCTCTATGAAATCATAGTTTTTTTCTTATTTAACACGTTATTAAAATTCTTCAGAAAGATATTATAAGCATTTTAAAGAATTGGTAGGGGACCGAATAGCATTTGTATCTTGTGGTATCTATAATTTTATATCAGTGACATATTTTGGGAAATAACATAAAGCTTGAGTTTTTCTTCTTTTTTTAACATTGAAGAAAAAGTCAAATTTAAAAAATACATATTAAGTGAATTAAATGCCACCACACTAAGCTTAAAGGGCATGTGTCAATTGTACTTTTTTAAGCCAGAATTGTATTATATCAAATAGTTTGGAAACAAGAAGTCAGTTAACTAGAGTTTAGGCAAATGGTACCATGGAAATTTTCATTTCCGTGCTATGTAGTATCACGAGATTCTGCTTGTGGAGTAAATGCAGAAATATAAATATAATTTCTCTGTAGTCTGAGGTAATTCGTTAACAAACTTTAATTCCTCACATGACCCTATAAACTTTGTTTGCAATGAAGATGGACTATAGCCAATTTCCATTTGAGAGTGATACTATATACTTACTGCTCATTATTAATCAGTCTGCTTTATTTCTGTATCTAAAAGTTTTAATTCTTTTACTCTGAATTCATAGGTCTCATTTTTATAAAATTCAATCATATTTGTGGTTCTCCTACGTAGGGTCTTCCAATGTTCCACATCTCATTTGAGCATGACTAATACACAGCTTCTTAGGCTTCCTCTTGGTAAGAGCCACACCTTGGCTTTCTAAAACCGGTAAGCACCTGCCATTCATTGACTACCTATGCTGAGTATTAGGCTTTTTCTTAGATGCCACATCTATCTATATAGATACAGACTTTCTTCCCTAGTCACTAGAAATATACTTTTCTGATTATAAACTCAAAACAAACTCATTGCAGAAAATTTTAGAATTGTAGAAATAGATGGACAAAAGGATCACCTGAAATTCCACTATCCAGAGATAACCGCTGTATTCCTGTCTCTAAACTTCCACTTACCCTAGGACTTTTTCTGAATTAAATGATTTGAAAACTAAATCCTCCTGCTTTTGCAAGATGGTAAGCTTGAGGTTTCTCATCCTGATACCTGATGGTAATATATTTTGAATTAGACAACATGCTAACAGTGTGGGGATGTCTCCACTTTTATATTGACAAAAATCATGTTAGCTGCCATTTATATTTACATATATATTTTACCTTCTTCACATGCAAATGGGCTCATTTGAGGAAGTGTTACATAGAGCACCTCACTGAATTCACCATATTTTTCAGAGTTTCGTTGTCTGGTTCTTACACGCACTTCATATTCTTTATCCAGTCTCAACGAGTACACTGGAACTGATGTTGATAATACAGGGTCCATCTTTAAAGAAAAAAACATAGAAGCCTATTGGTTAGAGTCAACAATTAAATACAACAAACTCTGTGGGTGTTCCCCTATTTGTATTCAGAATAGATTTCTATAAAGTGGATAATATTTTAAAATGAACTTTTGGAGTTTGCTATTTAAAGGAAGACTGAGACAAATAATTATGTAAAGAATCAAGTCCTCAAATTTACTTTGGTATGAACCCAAAGATATCACAGATTTGTTTTTAAAACTGCAACTATATCTTTGCATTAGGCTTCCAGATATTCTACTAAGATTAAAACATGATAGAATTATTATGAGTCAGAATTATAAAGAAGACTACAGATATGTTGTCTATATATTTGGGATATTACAGTTTCTATAAAGAAAGGCACTCTATAAAAAAGATACCTGCACACACATGTTTATCGCAGCATTGTTCACAATAGCAAGAACCTGGAAACAACCATGCTGCCCGTCAAAAGAGAACTGGATTAAAAAAAATGTGGTACATATACACGATGGAATACTACGCAGCCATAAAAAAGAACAAAATCATGAACTTCGCAGCAACCTGGATGGAACTAGAGTCTATAATACTGAGTGACCTCTCACAGAAACAAAGATCCGAGTATCACATGTTCTCACTCATATAATGGACCTTAAACATCCAATGCAATACTATACGAAAATGACTGACTGTACTGGGAAACTGTGGTGGGGGGAGGGAGATGGGATTAACAGTAGCAAATATCTGTCTGGGAATGGGGAAACACCCCATATCAACAGGGTGTCTGAATGAAACGCAATTGTATACCTAACCCTAAACTGTACCCCACAACTTCACAATAAAAAAAAGAAAGAAAGGCATAACAGAAAAAAACACATATTTTCACACTAAAACAAATCATAGCCCTAGCAAATTCTATATATGTATTTATTAAATTCTGGGGTAATCATTCACATAATCTCAGAATCGATAAGGGTCCCAGAAAAATCATAGTAGTCCTTATTGAACTCTCAAATAATTGTATTAAAAGCAACTACCTAACTGATCTGCTTGTTCTAGAAGGCTTGAATCCATCTCAAAACAGTTTGCTATTTAAAATCTGCAAAAAAATTCCTAGAATCCGCTAGTAAAGAACAACAGGGTCTCATAACCCTTAATGTTAGGATATTCCTTTACCTCCCCAGGGAGTAAGTAGAGACTGTTAGACTTTTAAGACATATTCCTGTCAAAGAAGTAGACCCAACTAATGACATTTACCTCCAAGTCAAATATTCAAAGCAGATATTCAATGTGCTTTTCATATATTTTTAGGTAGAACACCTTGTTCTTGTTTATAGGAAACTTGGAACACTCACTTTTTCCAACAACATGGATTTTCACATCTAAAACAAATTTTTCTTTCTCCTTCAGTTAGTTTCTACTTACAAAGTACCTCTTTTTCCCCATGTGTATATGACATGGTTTGTTTACATCTTTTATAGGAGCCTTTAAATATATGGGACATTTACATGCCTAAAATGCTTTCTTTAAGGCAGGATCCCGAATATTATATCTATATTATTATTTTTCTTAAAATATTTAAAAAAGCCTATGTTTCCATTCTTGAAGCCCTTATTTCTCTGTTATTGCTACCAATACTACTTTCTTTAAAGATTTTATTATTGATAAAATAAAAAGGGGCCCTCAGTGATTCAATCTGTGGTCCCCTCTCCATCTTCCCTCACCTTTTTACACCAGCCACACCAAACTCAAATTTTGTCACATGGCTCCTACTGTACCTAACTCTGTCATCTGGGGATGCCTTTCACTAGTCAAAGTCTCAGTGCAAGTCATATTTTGCATTTCCAAAGCCCTGCTCAATGTCAGGTATACAGTGGGTATTCAAGACATGGCCTGAACATAGTAAACAATTCCATGCCACCCATTAAGTATTTACAGAGCCATAAGTATTGGTTTAGTAGGTAAATAGTTGTAAACAACTATTGATAGTACCTTTCTATGCAAAATGTATTTAATTTAAAAAGGCACAGTAATAAGTTAATTCATATTGTCAAATGGTAATATGAATTCCTAATACAAGCAACATACACTGTTTTCCTCTTTACTTACAAACCTCTATTCCTTTTAAACTTATAATATCTGTGATCAATAACCACTTATATTGTGAGTTACTTCAAGACATAAGTCAGTCATTATAGACAGGTTCTTGGTCTTTGTCTAACTCCCTTGCAAATTAACAAACTTATAAATATCATGAATAAAAGGTAAGTAACGGAAAAGTTAACTGACTATCTAGTGAAATTTAGCAGGAGTGCCATGAAAAGTGCAAGAAAACTATGTTGGGATATAGCCTGAAGAGATAATCAATGGGAGTTTTATAGTGGTGCCTCAGCTGAGACATAACCGCATGTCATGAACTTTTAGGGGTGAAACTTATGATTATTAAGTCTATGAATTCTAACATTCTGATTTATATCTTTGTTTTTTTGTAGGTGTTAAGCTTTTTTGTTTCAGTACTCCTCCACACTCTTAAAAATTATTAAGAATTTTAAAAATTTTGGTTTAGTTAGGTTATACCTATCACTTTACTATATTAAAAATTGAAACTGAAAATTTAAAATACTAATTCTTAGAATTAAAATAGTAAATTGACTTCATGTTAAAATAAATAATATATTTTTATAAAAGTTATTGTACTTTCCAAAACAACAAAAATTAGGGTGAGAAGAGTGACATTGTTTTACATTTTCTGCATATCTCTTCACTATCAGATTTAATAGAAGATGGCCATATTTTTATATCTGCTTCTTAATTAAATCTGTTAAAATATGTTGTTGTTGGCTGAATTGCCAAAACAAAAATGAAATCTGGTTTCACACAGATATATAGTGAGGGAAAAGAGGACTATTTTAACAACTTTTTCAGACAATTGCGGATATTCTTTAATACTACACCAAAACTAAAATGGTAGTTTCTTAAAGGTTAGTTGCTATGCGAAATCTGAAACCCTATCATTGAATTTTTAGTACTTGTTAACAGTAAAATCACCATTCTTCACCATTAGACCTGTCTTACAAAAAAATTCTAAAAAATTATTTAAGTTGAAAGAAAAGGATGTTAATTAGTACCATAAAAATATGAAAGTATAAAACTCAGTGATAAAAGTAAGTACACAGTCAAACTTAGGATATGCTAATACTTTAATGATGGCATGTAAATCATTTATAGCTTTAGTATGAGGGCTAAAAGACAAATCTATTAAAATAATAATAGCTACAATCATTTGTTTAAAAATACACAATGTAAAAAGATATAAATGTGACATTGAAAATTTAAAATATGTGAAAGGTATTATATGGAGTTTTTGTATGCAACAAAGTTGCTTTAACAGCTTAAAATATACTGTTATTACTAAGATGTTTTATATAAGCCTTATGGTAGCCAGAAAGGAAATAAAACTATACTAGATACACAGAGGAAGAAAGTAAGGAATACTTTGATATCCTATCTTCAACAATAAACAGATCATTCAGACAGAAAATCAATAGGGAAACATCAAACTTAAACTGTACTCTAGATGAAATAGACCTAACAGACATATACAGAACACTCCATCAGACAGCAGCAGGATACATATTCCTCTCAAGCACAGGGGAACATTCTCCAGGATCGATCATATATAAAGCCATAAAACAAGTCTTAACAAACTTAAGAAGATTGAAATTATATCAAGTACCTTTTCTGACCATAATGGTATAAGACTGGGAGTCAATAATAGGATAAATTTTAGAAAAGTCACAAAATCATGGAAAGTAAACAACATGCTCCTGAACAAGCAATGGATCAAAGAAGAAATTAATAAGGGAAATTAAAAAATATCTTGAGACAAATAAAAATGAAAACACAACTTACCAAACATATGGAATGCAGCAAAAATAGTTCTAGGAGGGAAGTTTAAACACTTCCATCAAAAAAATAAAGAAAGCTCTCGAACAACTTAACATTATACCTTAAGAAACTAAAAAAAAAAAAAAAAAAAAAAAAAATGAGATAGAGACTAGAAAAAAAAATAAAAGGGATCAATGAAACTAAGAGTTTTTTTTAAAAGATAAATGAAATAGATGAATCTTCAGCTAGGCTAAGAAAAAAGAGAAGCCTTAAATAAATAAAATCAAAAATTAAAAAAAGACATTACAACTGATACAACAGAAATACAAAGACCCATAAGAGACTGCTGTGAACTATTCCATGCCAGCTAATTGGTTAACTTAGAAGAAAAGAATACATTCCTAGACATGCACAACCTACCAAGACCAAATCTTAAAGAAATATAAAATCCAAAAAGATCAATAACAAGGAAGGAAATTGAATCAGTAATAAAAAGTCTCCTAACAAAGAAAAGCCCAGGACCTGATAGCTTCACTGCTGAATTCTACCAAACATTTAAATAACTAGTATCAATCTTTCACAAACTTTTCTGAAAAATTGAAGAAGAGGGAATACTGCCAAATTCATTTTATGAGGCCAGCATTACTCTAATACCCAAACAACAGAAGGACACTTCAGGAGAACTACAGGACAATATCACTAATGAACACAGATGCAAATATCCTCAAGAAAATACTAAAAAACTGAATTCAGCAGCACATTAAAAGGATCATTTACCATGATCAAGTAGGATTTATCCCAGAGATGCAAGGATTATTCAATATACATAAATCTATAAACATGATACACCAAATAAACAAAATAGAAGAAAAAATACATAATTAATAGATATAGAAAAAGCATTTAACAAAATTTAATATTCTTTTATGATGAAAACCTTAAAAAAATTAGATATAGGATGAATGTAGCTCAACACAATAAGACCATTTATGACAAACCAACAGCTGCCATCAAACTTAATAGTGAAAAGTTAAAAGCTTTTCCTCTAAGATCAGGAACAAGATGAAGATGCCCACTCATGCCACTTCTATTCAACGTAATGCTGGTAGTTCTAGAATCAGAGCAATTAAGAAAGAGAGAAAAATAAAAGAAAGAAGTTCAATTGTTCCTTCTTACATATGTCATAATCTTACATACAAATAACCCCAAAGATTCCAGCAAAAACAACACAAAACAAAAACGATTAGAACTGATAAAGAAATTCAGTAAAGCTGCAAGATACAAAGTCAACATACAAAAATCAGTAGTGTTTCTATACATTAAAACAAACTGAGAAGAAAATTTTTAAAATACCCATTTACAATGGCTATAAAAATAAAAATAAAATACTTAGGAATAAACTAAAATAAGGAAGTAAAAGACCTGCACACTGAAAACTATAAAATATTGATAAAATAAATTGAAGATGACACAAATAAATGGAAAGATATTCTATGATTACAGATTGGTAGAATTAATATTGTTAAAATGCCTATACTATCTAAAGCAATCTACATATTCAATGCAATCCCTACTGAAATTCCAACATCATTCTTCAAAGAAATAATAATTTTAAAAACCTAAAATTTGTATGGAACCACAAAAGCCTCTGAACAATCAAAGAAATCTTGAGCAAAAAGAGCAAAGCTGGAAGCATTTGCTGACTTAAAAACACTACAAAGCTATAGTAATCAAAAAAGCATGATACGGGCATAAAGACAGACACATAAACCACTGCAACAGAATAGAAAGCTCAGAAACAAATGCACACATTTTTGGTAAATTGATTTATAGCAAAGGTTCCAAGAACACACAATGAGGAAAGGATAATCTGTTCTAAATGATATTGGGAATACTGAATATCAAAATGCAGAAAAATAAAATTAGACCCTTATCTTACTCCATAAACAAAACTCAAAATGGATTAAAAACTGAAATGTAAGATCTGTAACTATAAAGCTACTATAGGTGAAACTATAGGTGAAAAGCTCCATGGTACTGACCTGGGCAACAATAAAAAAAAAAAAAATGACTCCTAAGACATAGGCAACAAAAGTGAAAATCGACAAATGGGATTGCATTAAACCAAAAAAATTTCTGCACAGAAAAGATAACAATCAACAGAATAAAGAAACAGTCCACAGATTTGGTGAAAATATTTACAGACCATACATCTGAGAAGTGGTTAATATCCAAAGTAAATAAAGAACTCAACTCAAAGGCAAGAAAACAAATGACTCAACTAAAAGAGTAGGCAAAGGACCTGAATAGACATTTCTCAAAAGAAGATATACAAATGGCTAACAGGTTAAGAAAAATGCTTGACATCTCTAATCATCAGATAAATGTAAATTAAAACCATGGTGAAACAGCACTTCATAGCAGGCATTTGTGTGCACAAGGACTTGGTATGGCTATTAAAAAAAAAAGAAAGATAATAAGCATTGGTGAGAATGTGGAGAAAAAGGGACCCTTTGCATACTATTGGTAAGAATATAAATTAGTACAGTCTTTATAGAAAACAGTCTGAAGCCTCCTCAAAAACTTAAAAATAGAACCACCAAAACATTCACTATATTATTCTGCTATTAGGTATATATCCAAAGGAAATGAAAATAAGTATGTCTAAGAGATATCTGCAGTCTCACATTCATTGCAGCATTACTCATCAAGATATGGAATCAACCTAAGTGTTTATTAACAAATAAGTGGATAAAGAAAGTGTGGTATATATACACAGTGGAATACGATCATCTTAAAAAAAAAAAAAAAGAAGTCTTGTCATTTGTGGTAACATAGATGAACCTGGAGGACATTATGTTAAATTAAACAAGCTAGGCACAGAAAGACAACTACTGCATGGGCTCACTTATATATGTGGAATCTAAAAAAGCTGAACTCAAAGAAGTGAAAAGCAGAATGATAGTTTCCAGTGGCTGCGGGTAATGTGGAGGGTTGGGGACATATTGGTGAAAGAATACAAAAGTTCAATTAGGAGGAATAAGTTTAAGAAATTTATTGCACAACATGGTGATTACAGTTAATAGTTGTGCTCTGTATTTTGAAAATCTCTAAAAGAGTAGAATTGAAGTGTTCCCAACACACAATAAGTATGTGAGATAATGCATATGTTAATTAGCTTGACTGAGCCATTCCACAACGTATCCATATTTCAAAGGATTCTTTTATATATAATAAATATATAAAATTTTTACTGGTCATTAAAAAATTCACAATTCCATCTAGTACGTTGAATGGGTCACTTTCCCTTGTATGATTTTGGTTGTAGTATGCACTGGTCATTTGGAAAATATTGGTTCACTGAGTTGTGAACTTTCTAAATGTTCACACATTTTATTTATTTATTTATTTTTGAGTTGGAGTCTCACTCTGTTGCCCAGACTGGAGTGCAGTGGCCGCTCCCGGCCACCGCAGCCTCGACCTGCTGGGCTCCAGCGATCCTTCCGCCTCCGCCTTCCGAGTAGCCGGAATTACAGGCGCTCGCTACCACGCCCAGCTGATTTTTTTGATTTATTGTAGAGATGAGGTCTCGCTGCCCAGGCGGGTCTCGAACCCGCGGGCTCAGGCAATCCACTTACCTCAGCCTCCCAAAGGCTGAGCCACCGAGCCCGGTTACACATTTTATTATACAATACAAAAAGTCATTTCTGTTAATATCACCATTTATCTCTTTGAGAAAAGCCTTCAAACACTGGCAAACTATCAAACTCACAGTTCAAATACAAATTTTCCAACATCCTGATTTTCCCTTGAGAGGTCACATTTTTCCATTGGCAACAATTACCATCAGATGTTTTTCTTGAAATGACAAGCTCACTTCATTCTCTTTGAAAAATGTTTGCTAACTCATATATGAGTAACCAATACTAGTTTATTTATTTTTAAAGTAAAAATGGTATACCATGCAAAAAAAACCAAACAAAAAACAACAAAAAAACAGCTAGTTCAGGGGCAACTCAGTCATTTAAGTGTTTTCTTCATGATAACATCAGTACCTTGGTATGCAGCAGAAGGGCTTTATCTGTACTTCCCATGTGACACAAAGAATATTAATAGGCTGCATACTCTAAGGTAGAGATTTAATAAAATTAATAATTTTTGCAGTTTTATCAAACACATTTATATGTGAAACTGGCTTCCCCCCACTTTCTTTACTGTAGTGCATGGTGGTGAAAAAAAAACAGTGACTAGTAGCATAGTTTGGTATTATTGCCTTGATCCATGCTAATGTGCTAAATGTTTTCCAAAAATTGTTTTTGTGCCACTAATGTAAATGCCAACATAGTATAAAAAGAAAATAACGTTTTAGTATATTGTGAACATAATATTGACTTTTGGACTTCCTGAAGGGTATCAGGGACCCTAAGGGTCTGTGGTTCACACTTTGAGAATCTCTGCCCCAGGTACCTAGCACAGTACCTTGTGCACAGTAGTTATTTCAGTACCTGGTTGCTGAATAAATGTTTGTAGCTTGGATTTAGAAAGTCTCATTTGATTAAGCATTCAACGAGGGGTTTTTTTTGCACCAATTTACAGAACAGATAACTAAATTAAAATGATTTGGAAAACAGAACCTCAAAGGCCAGCACTGTAGCTGTTCAAAGCTGCTCCAAATTTAACTTTCCTCTAATGACAAAATTGGCTTATTTTTCAGTGGTTCACTTAGTGGACATGGCTTAGTGACTCAAAATTCTGAGGGTGAGCTGTGCCAGCTTCCTGGGCACTACCTGATGCATGGTCAGAAACCACTTGGCTTGACCAGGGCTGTAGCTGTGGTTAGATAGATTTAGAATTAGTTATATTGGGAGCAGCATGATAATCTTGTTTTTATTCATATTATGTGCCATGTGGAATTTATCTAAGCACTGAATTCCATACACTTAGTAAGGAAGTGAGGGGTTCAGAGGTCAACCAGTAACATACTCTCTACTTGCCTACCTAAGAACCTCTTAACTTGATTCTTCTATGAGGTATGAAAAAAAATATCTTTCTGAAACCTCTAAAGGGCCAATTCCCTCCCTCTGTTTCCCTTCTGTAGACACTTATAAACTTATTTTAATAGGGATCTTATGAGTAGTAGCAACTAAAATCATGGGAAAATATTTGACTACAGTCCACTGATGAACTTGATCATAACCCTTCCCATGTTTAGCCACATCCCCAAAGGCAGCTAAGTGACCAGCCTTTAATTTTGCTCTAAAGTTAAACTGGACACCAAGAATAAGTAAAGAAATAGTTTTCCTTTCCTTCCATGGGCATCCATATAAATAAGCATGTCCTATCTTAAAGAATTCAAGATGATATTTTACTGATGAGATTAGTTTTTCTCAAATAAAAATTATGGAGATATAACATATGGTATTATGTCAAAAGGAAATCTAATATTTATAAATGAGAGAAAGATTGTTGAAATAGAAAGAAAAGTCAAAGTGTAAGATGTAGTGACATCTTACCATTTTCCATTGAGTTTCATTTACTTCTTTGTATTGAAGTTCATACTCCAGAACTATCCAACCTTTCTGAACATCCGCGTTGGGTGGTGGTTCCCATCTCACTTGGATATCCGCATGAATACCAGTTAAACTAATGTTCAGTAAAGTCCAGTTGAGGCCAGTGGGTGGATCTGGTTGTACTGTTCAATTCAACAGAGAATTAGTGCATCGAGAGACACAACTTGATATTAATGGAGTGTTTTCTTCTGGAAAGACCAAATTACTGTATATGTTTTGATTGTTCATACTCTTGATTCTTCTAATATTATTATAACTCTCATTTTATGAGTACCATTTTTTACTTTAAAATGATGTTTTTAACTTTTAAAAAAGACCCTCCAAAAATCCCTTTTTGAATAAAAAATAAGATCATTAAGTGTTTTTTTGAAGCTTTGCCATGTATTACATTTCTTTTAGCTCTGATAGCATTAATGCTTTGGGATTTTGGCAAAGGAATTCATTTTCACTTGAAACTGAAAAAACAGAAAGACCTACAGTATTTAGACATGGGACTGGTTTGGAGCTAGAAGCAGAAGAATCTTTTTGCTCCAAACTGTATGTGGCCTGGGGGAAGGAACCTTGCCTTATTCATTTCTGCATTGCTACCAGTACGTACCTTCTGCAGACCCTGATAACTTTGTGGTCTTCCTGGCCATATGTGGTCATTCCTTCAGACATAAAAAGGGTGCATTACATTGCTCTCTTAAATAATGATGATTCAGTGTTTTCTGTATTTTACTTAACTGCCATGTGAACAATCTGAAACACTGTTTTGCTCAGTGTCCATTGATATACTTTACATTCTCAGGTAAATTGGTTGCATTTTGCTTATGAGGACCTCAAAGATCATTATTTCCCAAAGGTTGATGAAGAAAAATGTAGATTCTAAAGCCAGGAACTATTTCTAAATGTATATTCTGGATAGTCCCCAGTAAATTAGTTCTACCTAAGTCTCATTACTGAGGGTTTTAAAAGTCACAGATACAGAATAAAATTTATTTATTTATTTATTTAATTATTCCATATGTAGAAGGTCACTTAAAGTGTTGCAAAGTCTGGTGCCCTAAGGTTGATCAGAGATAACCCTCTAGATATACACTGTGAGGAACTTTTACAAACTGTCATTTCTGGTGACCAAAGAGGGAAGTTTTTATATTCACTCAGAGAGAAGATAGATCTTCCAGTGGAGGAGCATGCTATTGACCACTGTAGACTAGACACCACTCTTTTAAAAATAGGAAAAGTTGCCGGGCTTGGTGGCTTAGCCTGTAATCCCGCGCCTTTGGGAGGCTGAGGTGAGTGGATTGCCTGAGCCCGCGGGTTCAAGACCCGCCTGGGCAGCGAGACCTCATCTCTACAATAAATCAAAAAAATCAGCCGGACGTGGTAGTGCGTGCCTGTAATTCCGGCTACTTGGAAGGCTGAGGCGGAAGGATTGCTGGAACCCAGCAGGCATGGCTGCGGTGGCCGGGAGCGGCCACTGCACTCCAGTCTGGGCGACCGAGTGAGACTCCAACTCAAAAAAAAAAAAAAAAAAAAAGGAAAAGTTTACATTTAACTAATCATGATTACATGATTACATTTGAAAATTAAATTAGTGCTAAACTATGTATGTCCACATAATAGCAGTAGTATCTCATCTTTGTGGATTTGTTAGAGATTGAGAAATTCCTGATAACCAAAATTTAGCCCTTTAAGTGACCCAACTATAAAATTATTTTTGATGGGAGATTTTCTAAAATTTATTACTTATCCTTTATCTTTAAAATTTCCTTTTCCACTTCAAATAGAGGACTGGAACAAGGTCCTTTTGGTGAAGGCCTGGTACCATTGTTATAAGCATAATAATAACTTCTTATTTACCGCTATACATGTGTCTATGTGCTATACTCGACATGCGAGATATTTAAAAAGTCTAATATATCCAAAACAAGCCCCGGTCTTCCTCTCCAAAACCACATCTTCTTTCCTCTTCCCTATCTCTGTTAATGGAGACAATATCCCTTCAGTCACTCAGGATAAAAACAATGAACACTTCCTTGACTCATCTTTTCCTCACCCAACCCACATTCTGTTAGCTATACCTTCAAGATAGATCCAGAATTCAACCACTGCTCACCGCCTTCACTTTCATAGAATGGAATCCAGCCATTTTCGGTATTCACCCCTCTTGCAGCACTTGCCCCCTCACTGTTTTCCTCCTTCAGTCTTTGTGGCCCTCTAGTCTATTCTCCATGTAATCATCATGACAAAGTAATTATCTTAACACTTCAGTTAGATCACATCATTCATCATCCAAAGCCCTCCAAAGACTTCCTTTCTCACTCCAAGTGAAAGCCAAACTCATTACAATGGCTTAAAAGGTCCTATAGATTTGACTCTTATCTGTGGGATCTGGTCTTTTACCAGTTTTCTTGCTCACTGTGTGCTAGCACCACCACCAGCTTGTTGTTTCTTGAATGAAGAAAGGCATGCTTCTGCCTCAGAATGTTTACCCTTGCTGTGCCCTCTTGCTGAAAATCCCTTTCCTCATATAGACACCCAATTATCTTCTCATTCCTTCTTTACTCAAATGTCACTGACTCGGGGAAGCCAATTGTGATAACCCTGCTTAACAAAGCAATGTCTCCAGCACTCCTAGTCTCTTTCCCTGTATTTCTCCACAGAATTGTCATTCTCCACCTTTCACAGGAATTAAATCTCATGAGGGAAAACATTTTATTTCTCCAGCATGGAGAACACCACCTGACCCAAGGAAAAGAATACAGTAAATATTTGCTACATGAATTGAATGAATGACAAAGGCCTAACTAACATATTACTTTAATCAAAAGCTTTATGAGGTAGCAGAATCTTAGCCCTATGAGGTAGTAAAATGCAAACATAATACATGAGGAAACAGGCTTGTAGTGATTAATATCTTTCTCAGGATCTACTAAGGTTGCCTTGGTTCTTTGCTTTTTCTCCTGTGAAGCCCCCTAGGCCACCAATTGTTTTATTGTAGTAATTTTGCCTGTCATCATATTTTGCCTTGATCATCTCAGTCTTCTAACCTCTCTATCTCTATTCTGTCCCACTTCAACCTACCTTCCATGCTGCAGCAAGACTAATTTCCCTGAGGCATTAATATCCTGACAGGTGGTATTGTATAGCCTCAAGAATAAGAGCATGGACTCTGGCTGTAGCTATACTGCCCAGGTTCAAATTCCAGCTTTACCTAATAGTTGTTTGACTTGAGTTTATCATTTAACTGGTCTGAACCTTAGTTTTATTGTCTGTAAAATGAAGATTGTAATAGAACCTATCTCACATAATTGTTATATTTGACACATGGTAAGTCCTTTTTGAGTGTTAGCTGTCACCATTCTCAGGTCTTTTCTCTATTTAAACATCCTTAAAAGCACCACTTGGCAGTAAGATGAAGTTTAAATTCCTTTTTGGAGCACATAAGACTACTGATGATTTCTCTAGTTGACCAGCAGACCTGCCTAACTGTTCTTGAATTCTTGAACATTCTGTGTTGTTTGTTAGTTTTGGAATTTAGTAACTGCTGGAAGGCACAATCCACTGTGATACCTGGCTTTAAATGGTAACGGAATGGTCACCTCTGTGAACCCCTTCTTCATCCCTCAGGCCCAGTTAGTCATTTATGCCTTTGGCTACCACATTGGTTGCTATGCATTCCACACATCTCAAGTCCAGCACCTGCTACAGTGTATCACAGGTATTTGCAAACAAACCTGACTCCCCTCTTTGACTATATCTTACTCATTCTGTAGCCACCATTTCCAGCACAATGACTGACACGTGGCAGGCACTCAGTGAAAGTTAGAAAGGTAAATGAGTAGGGCTTGGCTATTGGCAGGGAACAGGGTTAGAACATGGGTTTTAACCCAGTATTCTTACTACTACCCCATTCTACTATCTCATTTAGCTTCACCTCAACAGCTACACCCACTGATGTTAGAAAATATACTAAATTGTCTCTCCAAACTATGCAAGTGTGTTATCTTTTCTGCTTGGTACAGTTTTTTCAATTTTCTTCAAAGTCAGGCTATCAGATTTCATTTGTTTCTGTCTGCAGCTTCTAGCCACATTCTCCTGTCTCTTTAAGTCTGCTGATACCTAGGAAACTACATATAAGAACAGCACATCTGGGAGAAACAACAAGGAATTCCTATAAGCAACAAATGAGAGGCACCAAGGTCACCTTCTCAAAGTCCTTCTTTGATTCTATTTTGCTGTTTATACTATTACAGCATAAACATGAATATTCTCATTACAGTTGCTTATTTTGCTTTGTTTCTACCTTGTATCCACATGATAAGCAAAGGATAATTTGCTTATCTTTTACTTAGTTCATTAAGCTGATTATCTCCAATGTTTGTCTTGAGATCTTATAAACACGTCTTTATAAATTAATTGTGGTTGTTTTGTAAATGCAAAATTCCAAAATCATTATGTTTTGTGGTGGCTCAGTCTGTAATCCCGGCACTTTGCGAGGCCAAGGCGAGTAGATTGCCTGAGTCCTGGGCAACTTAGCAAAACAAAGAAAATCTAGACTTTGATTATAGCAATGACAGAGGTCAAAGGCCAAAATATTTAAGTAGATCTCAATATAATCATCATGTCAGGTAATTAGAAAAGAAGGAATCTCAAGAGTACATTAAATGTGCCACTGCAAAGGCATATAGATGCAATCCAGCTTCAAAGGCCTCTTAAAGGATAAGACTCCGCAAGGCTCCCACTCTTTCCTTTGGAGCATTTCCACCTGGCTGCTTTATGTCAACTTCACTTCCCCCTGCCCTTTTACTCTCGTTCACCAGTTGATCCCATGTCCTGTAAAACAGATCTCTTGTCCCTAAGAGCACTATCAAAACCTTCCTACTTGATTATACTTGGACTTTTCAGGCTTCCCCACTTACTTAGTCTAAACTATGCCAAATAAAACACAAACCTGAGATTTACCTATTTCCTCAACAGAGAAACACTTTTGATCCACCGTAACACCATTGTTAGTTAGCTTGATACAGTAAGGTATCCAAATGGAGGTATATGATGAATTAAAGTAACAGCTGTTTTCTCCAGCAGAGATATAATCGGGGCATTCTTTCCATTCTTGAGTCGATTCTTGAGTATTCCTTAAACGGAGGATAAAAAAATTAATTTTTCTGAAAATCATGCAATAGCTTAAGTCAAAGTGAGGTGCTTAACAGTCAGTTCAATAAATTGGAATAAAAATATTTTGTGGGAAAGTATTTTAGCAACATCATTTCCAAGAAGTATCCCATCCATGGACAATCTCATCAGTGTCTGAAAACTGTCAGGGGCCATTTGAGACTTCTGCCTATAGTAAAAACATCTGTCTATTGTATGCATATGCTATACCAGCTCCTTAATAAGGTGATTCCTAAGGTAGGGACTTCATTATACCCATTCTACAGATGATAGTTCTAAGGCTTAGGAAAGTTTCTAAAATGTTCATCTATTAAAACAACACAGAAAGTCAGTCTCCAAATTACAGAGATTCCCAGAGAACAGTGAAGTATTTCTCCAACTCATGGTAGAAGAAACTGAGGAAGCATGCTCAGGCTCCAGGCTGAGTGATACACTATATTCAGCCCTAGCACTGTATGAATATAATGATACATCAGATTTGGTTCCTAATTTCAGGTCAGAAGACTCACAAATTCCCATCTGAGTACTTTTTTTTTTTTTTGGCTTTTGCATTCATTACATTGATATTCTATGAGAATTGATTATGTATAAAAGACTTTGCTAGACAATACGGCAATTCTTTAGAATATAATAGAATTATTCCTGCCTTAAGGGAAAAAAAATTAAAAATCTGTATTACAAAGTTGTGTAAGTGCTCATTAAAGCCCTTGAGAGTGGCCGGGTTCAGTGGCTCAGCCTGTAATCCCGGCGCTTTGCGAGGCCAAGGCGAGTAGATTGCCTGAGTCCGTGGTTTTGAGATCAGCCTGGGCAACTTAGCAAGACCTCGTCTCTACAGTAAATCAAAAATTAGCCAGGTGTTGTAGTACACACCTATATTTTCAGCTACTTGGAAGGCTGAGGCAGAAGGATCACTGGTGCACTCTAGCCTGGATGACAGAGTGAGACTCCAACTCAAAAAACAACAAAAAAAGTCCCTGAGAATTCAGAAGAAGGAATGATTGTTTTAGCTCTTCATGGAAGACTTCAAGGTATAGGTGGGGTTTTTAGCAATCTGGAAGGATAACTAAAGTTTAATAAATGGTAATAGGGAAAGGAAGCGAACAGAGTGGTAATAGTGAACGGAAAGAACAGAGTGGTCAAAAGCACTGAGGTAAGGAAATATGGACATGAATGTGGTAAGGAAAGTAAGAAGCAGTGGAATAACAAGAAAGAACTTCCTTAAATTAGAATTGCTACTTTGATAGGGTAGTTCCTTATTCCCTTATTATTCACAAGCCTATTAGTTAAGAAGACTTATAAGACAAGGGGACATAAAACTATGTAAACTTCAATGAGAAAGAAGGAGGTAGGAAAGGCCCTGTGCAGGTAGAGGTGCCTGTGGTTGCCAAGCCAGACTATGGAGGTTTAGGACCATCCATCAGTGGGATGGGTTCTGGGCAATGAGAATATCACAGGCTGTAGAGAAGGCAGATCCTGGAAGGAAGGGAGGAGAAGCTGGGAGAATACACGTTTTCTTCTTTACAGCTGTTTTTCTGGCTGGTCTGTTTGTGATACTAGAAGGAAACTTGTATAGTAACAATGGGGTCCTTGAGACAGTTGCTCACAAGCTGTTGGAAAGAACTTGGTATTGAAATTTCAGACACTACAGGATCTGAGACTCTAAATTATTGCTTAAATTCTAGTTGAGATTCTTAAAAGTTGGACATCCTTGGATGAGAGGGAGATTCATCCCTGTTGGGAAAATATTATTCTTAATTATCCAAAATTAAGTTTTATTTTAAATAATATTTAAAACTTACTCTTTTAAACTATTAAATCTAGGCAAAAATCCAAATGGACTCATAAAACAGATAATCTGCCACCTGCTTTCACTGAGTCGAAAGCCAATTTATAGAAGTTACTCTTTCCTTCTCTTACTCCCAAAAGTTAAGTGCTTTAAGTTTTCTCCCAGACTATCTTGTGAAGTAAAAGTTAGAACTATAGAAATAAACCCTTATTAGAAATCAGAATAAAAAGCAGAAAACATGTTTTTCATCTACAGGTAACCAACTGGAAAAGGAATCATAAAAATACATCATTTACGTTTTAGGAGAGACTGCTATTCATGACATACAGTTCAGATATTTTTGGTTTAAATTTAGCCTCTCTCTTAGAAAAAAAAAAAACAGCAAGCAACAATGCCTTTTCTTCTAATTTCCCCCACAAGATTGCATGGAAAATGAATTTTCTTCCAAAAAGCCAGTGTAATTTTTTGAAGGGGGCTCAACTGGGAATGCTAAAGGGGTTGAGCCATAAGGGCCAAGTGTTCATAAGCCTACTTCCTTAGAACACAAGGCATTTACATGCAAGAAGCTGAGAACAGAGTAGCCCCAACGTGCTTCCCAGAGCCTTATTTTGCCATGCCTGTGTTTTGCATTCATGCTGAGTTGCCTCCAAGCTCAGGGGCTGAATTTGGCGCCATTTCCACCTCAGGGTGGCAGAGAGTGTTTTGAGTCAGCTGCCCTAACACGATGAGGCTGTTCTCTTCTGCCAGCTCACCTGGCAAGAAACAGAGTCAGGCAAAACACACGACTGCCTGTGGGCCACCCCTGGACTGTCCTGTTGACAGTCTGGTGTGTTTAGATTCCGTTATGCTTTAGCTATCAAGGTCAGGCCAGCAAAATGAAAGCCCACTGCACCACCCCCTCCTCTGTTCCTTTCTGCCTTCACTGACTTTAGTTTTGGATAAAACCCTGTCACAGTTTTATTTGTGTGTCACAGATGGGAAGTGTGTTTCTATAGTTTCAGGAGTTGCCTGGTAACTGAATTTGAAGAAACAATGACAAAAGTCAGAATGTGCATGTGTACTGTGCTCTTTGTGTTAGTGGATAATGAGAAGCCTAATATATTTGTACATTAATCATGCAGTCCAGCCCTGATATTCCTAAGCCCTCAATTCAACCCTTCTCAGATAAACCAGGCTATGAGTTTATGCTAGTTTGCCTAAGATATTTTAAAATGTTATATTTTTATAGAGAAAACACAGAATGCTAATTTTGCAAGTTTAATCATTAGGTTGTTCTTAGGGTGTTTAAGGATGCGACAATTCCTACCCCCTCTACCCTGGGATTTCAAATTCCACCAGGGCAAAAACTAAGACATCCTTCTGAATATGTCTAAAATTTTCCTGCCACCTGGTCATACTTTCAGCAGCACCCTTGTTAGCACAGAGCCTAGTTTGGACCAGGGATACTGAAAGGACTGAGTTGTGCTGAAGAGACCTGCAGACAGAGTTATGTGGGCCTGATGGATGAGGGTAAGGAGCAAATATATATTTGTGAAAGCTTCATTTCTTTGGATTTCTCCTTTTGCTTGTGCTCAAATTTGGTGAATATTATTAGGGTGGTTAAAAAAAAATGCCAAAAAGCTATTTCCATGAAGTGGGCCCAGTTTATGAGGTTCTGCTGTTTCTCTGTTTGGCTGATTAATTGTGCCTGTACAAGTAACTTATTTTACTTGTTTTAACTGAACTGGGTCTCTGAGATGCTGAAGTAAAGCATGAAATTGCACTTACTAAGTCTTTCTCTCTTCATTTACAAATAATATAATCAATTCTACACATATTCAAAAATGTTACCAAACATATTAGCTTCATGTTTGAATGTATTTATAGAAATCAGCTTTGTTTACTAGCCCTTATCTCTCTGCAGTGTCAGCCTTAAGAAAAAAAAATAGTGTATATGGTGCCCAACCATTTCATCTTCATGTGCTCTTTGGGTTATGTCCAAGAGACCTCTCTCACCCTGAGAAAGTATGGAAGGCCAGTCTTGGCCTTGAGATACTTGTGATCTCTAAGTGAAGCCCTCAGCTTTGCATTAAAAATAGTTATAATGCTATAAGGCATACTTATAATTACAAACAGTTAAGAATCAAAATCATTTTATAGCCCAGAAGTTGGAATTCTGTCATTATTATTTGAAATTATTATTATACTACCAATAATAACAGCAGCTACCGTTTACTGGTACTTGTTATGTGTGAAGCACTATGTAGAAGTATTTCTTAATGTACGATCTAATAATATCCTCACAAGAAACCGTGAGGCAAGTTTGTTATCTCTATTCTGCAAATGAGAAGGCCAAGTTATACACACACTGACTAATTTGCTGAGTATTCCTTGGTGAGAAAAGTGCCAGGCCCAGGCTGAAATGCAGGTTTGTTGGGCCTGAGCTCATGTCCTTTACTGCTGTCTGTCATCTTCCTTCCCTCTCCCAGCTCCTCTGTGGGGTAGAACATATCACCTTTAGGCTAATGAACAATAAGAGTCTAGAATAAAGGGTCCTTACTAACCTTGTAACTTGAAATGTTCAACACTAAAATTTTAAAAGATAAAAAAGTACAACATAAGAGTAAACAGCAAAGAAAATAATGACAGATGAAGGGGAAGAAAAAAACTACTTGGGTGGTGATTATATTGAAAGATCTTTGTTTCATTCTTCCTCTGTTATTTTACAGGACCACTGGTAAAAATGGAAAATTATTACAATCCCCCTTATTAAATTAACTAATTTGAGAGAAACATAAACTATTATCCACATAGCAACCAAGTTGCATCTTTTTTTTTGCCTTCCAAAACCCAGATTTTATCACATTTTTCTATGTTTATAGCCTTATTTTTATTTTTTAATTTTTATTTTGAAGATGTGGGGTACAATTCATGGTTAGGTATACAAATGGTCATTGTACAGGTAAAGTTTGGGCCTCATTTTGGTCCCCACATCACCTGGTTTGAGATCAGGTAACCTTATTGATGAAGTGTGCCCCTCCCCCACTCCTTGCTCCCTGCTTCCTCCCCTGGCAGTTTCCCACTATTGCCAATCAAGTTGCATCTTTTAAGACACACTTTTTTTCAAAAAACACCCATGACTTTCTACCAAAAATAAAGTAAAAATCAAAGCCCGCCCTGGCCTATGAGGTTTACTACAGTCTGGCCCTAAGTAACTCTCTGACCCCTGCCCATATCACGCTTTCCATTTTCAATCTTTTGCCATCAGTGCTGGCCTTTTGCTTTCCTCAAACATGCCAAGACTGCAATAGAGAGGCTTCCTATAACCTCCTATTCCAAACATCACTAAAGTCCTCTACACACACTCTCATCCACATGCACATACCCATGTGTATATACACTCAATCTCATGCACACTTTGACACAGTCACTCTCATATACACCCATGCACATATGCACACACACATATAGTGCTGAAACTCTTTATCCTCTTTCAAGCTTTATTTTTTTTAAAATAATGCATATTACCCACTGGCATTTTTAAAATATTTTAAATTATCTGTCTCCCTCCCTTTAAATAAATCTTGGCCAGGTACTGTGGCTCAGTCTGTAATCCCAGAACTTTGGGAGACTGAGGTGAGAAGATTGCCTGAGCCTGGAGGTTCAAGACCAGTCTGCGCAACTTGGTGAGACCTCATCTCTACCATAAGTCACAAAAAGTAGCTGAGCGTGGTGGTATGCTTCTGTAGTTCCAGCTACTTGGAAGGCTGAGGTGGAAGAATCGCCTAAGCCCAGCAGGTCGAGGCTGTGGTGGCCATGAGTGTGCCACTGTACTCCAGCCTGGGCAACAAGAATGAGACTCTAACTCAAAAAATAAACAAGCAAACAAGCAAATAATAAATCTATCTCCAGGAGGCCAGGAATTTTATCTTTTTGTAATCTTTGCTATATCTCCAGTGCCTAAAATAGTGCTCAGTACATAGTAAAGGGGCTAATTTTTTTCAATAAATTAATAAATAAATACATTTAAGTCATCAAGATAAACCACTTCTATTCCTATACTGCATGTGACTTAGTATACTTTAGTCAGCACATCCATGGAGAGAAAAATCAGAAAGGCATAAAGGTTGCACCTTCTAATATAGAACAGCTGTACAGATCCTGGGCTCTTTAAGCTACGATGAACCTCATCTGTCCAGTGGCATGAAAAGGTCTCTAGTTCAGGTGAACGGCACTTGGTGAATTTAGTCTTCCCAGAAGAATCTGTAGAATAAAAAGAAAAAGCAAGGCATGAAATCAGAAAGGTCTTATGTGGTTCAAATAAAACACCTACAGTATTGTATACAGAAGAAACAATTGGGATAAAGCCAATACATTCTGTATCTAGGAGGTGATGCCAGTGTCTTCCAGAAATGCTTTCTTTCTGGGGAGAAGTCTTAGAGTCTGTTAACTGCTAGTGCTAGCCCTTGATTCTAGAGACAAACCATTTTACCTTTATTTCAAGCATTATTTCTTAAGAGTGTTTAAGAAACCAGAGCTAGAGATGATTTGGGTACAGGTAGTTCATCTAGAAGGTGATCCCAGGAATTACAAGTGAAGGAATAAGGAGAGTAGGAAGGAAAGGGAGAACAGCTAATTATGTGTGTTATTGAGCTGGTTATCACAATGGTTAATTGCGGCCCAAACCCACTGAGGATCCTCTGAAAAACTGTACAATGTGTCCTCTGTATTATGTACTGAGTACCATTGTCCTACAAGGAATGGGAGCCTGGGACATTTCCCCAACAACTCCCAACACCCACTGGTTGAGGATACCTTGGTGATATTAACTCCTGTGCACTTGTAGGCTGCACCTGAACAGAGACTGAGGGTTCTTTCCTAGGCAGGCACATGGTGGTGCATGGTGCACCTGGGCACTATAGGTGGCTGTGCTGACATTGGGTGAACAAAGGGAATGTGGGGCTGGGACCACAGTATCGATTACAGGACCATTTTTCTTGTTATAGAATTTTGATAGAAAGTCACTTATGTTTGCATTATTTTAAAAGATTCAGCCAGTAAACTTATTAAATAGACACTAACTGTCAAAAAGTTACACATACATTTGTGTTTATTCTAACTTGGGAATTGGAGCGTGCCTCCTATGTTCGGATATTAGCCAAAGTCCCTTTGCATTAATGAAATCTACAGCTATAGATATGAACCAGAAAGGTCTGATGCAAAACCCATTTTTGTAGATTTTGGAGAGGGTCAAGTTGTTTTTCTTTTCTTTATTGCTCCTTATAGGATTAGACCTCAATTAAATTGTAAGCAATATATTTGTTCTCTTATCTAAAACTCTCATTCTTGGGCATTGGTGACACTATTTTAAAGTATCTTTATAAATACTTTAAAAGATCATTTAAAAATAAATACTATGCAAACAAACACATACAAATTCCTGACTTCAAATTCCAGGATATGTACCTGGTGTTCTGAACCAAAAATATGCCTCCCTTTTTCCTCTGGCAACACAGTCATAAGGGATGGAGGTTATAAATTTCCAAACCGATCCATTGTTTAGTCATTTATTCAAAAAACACTACTATACATCAGTTTTGTGCCAGAGCCTGTTCTAGGAATAGAGCAGGGAACAAACTGATAAAAATCTTGGTCCTTGTTGAGCTGCCATTCTACTGGGGTGGGGGATGTAGCGATCCTATGTAGAAGAGTGAGTTATGTAAGAAAAGATGACAGGGCTGGGAAATGGAGACTTCACCTCCCTTCCACTAACACCCACATTAATGTAATGAAGAAACTCAGGCTCAGGAAATATGCCCTTATCTGATAACACCTATTGCTCTGAATAGTCTGGCTACAATCAAATGAATCTTCAGAGAATTCTGAGTTGCAGATACACATCAACCTTGACATGTTGGAGACAGTAGGAATTTTTTTTATTAAAAAATTCCATGGTCATAATGTTGTAAAATATACTTTTTTTTTGCATGAAATGATAAATTTATAAGAGTTTTGGGGCATGGACAGCAGATGGACAGCCCTTTTTCTGTGGTCATTGTTTACTAACCCCTCTCATAACACTGAAGTGTAGGAGCCTGTGGTTACAAGTGAGTACAGTTAAAAAGGTGTGTATTTGTTAGACAAGCACCTATTATAAAGTATTCAGAAAAGTTCCTTTTTTCTATTAGTTAAAGCACTAAAAACACCACTTTAGGTTTTTCTAGAAAATTAGTGATTAATAAAAGTAAATATTTAAATCACAACATTTTTAATGCCTGCAGGATTGAGGAGATTATTTCACATTCTATTTGTACAGAAGACAAGAAGAAATGCACTAGATTACAAATTGAAAGATTTGCTTTCTAGAACACTAAATGCAAATGCCACCAGTTTCATATATTCCTTGTGTAATATGCCTGTCACATAATAGCAAGAATAAAAAAGCCACCCCCAAAACTTGAAACAGAAAACAAACAAAACCTTGTCAGCTGGAAACAAAAAACTTAAAAGAAAAAAGAACTAATATGAGACACATTTTAAACTTAGTATTCTTAGATTTATTGTTTCCTTTTAACTCCAGATGTATAGAAAGTCCTTGTTATCATCTCGTTCTAAGTGAGAAATAGGGCATTTATGGTTGTGGTGCTAATGTGATGAAATGTGTGCCTGCACAAAACCCTGATATAGAAGTATTGCAGCAAAACTATGTTTCTCTTCTTTTTTTTTTTTTTTTTTTTTGAGTTGGAGTCTCACTCTGTCACCCAGGCTGGAGTGCAGCTTTGACCTGCTGGGCTCCGGCGATCCTTCCGCCTCAGCCTTCCAAGTAGCCGGAATTACAGGCATGCGCTACCACGCCTGGCTGAATTTTTTATTTATTGTAGAGATGAGGTCTCGCTGCCCAGGCGGGTCTCGAACCCGCGGGCTCAGGCAATCCACTCACCTCAGCCTCCCAAAGGCGCGGGATACAGGCTGAGCCACCGAGCCTGGTTTTTCTTCGTCTTTTAAAGATCTTTTTCTCCCTTCCCCATTTCCTTTCCACCTTCCTTCTTTCTTTCTTTTTCCTTGTACCCTCCTTCTCTCTTTCTTCATTTGCTAGATCTATGTGTTAAGTGCTGTCACAGATAGCTCCTAAAGTGGTGCCCAATAATTCCTGCCTCCAATTATTCACAGTCTTATATATTTCCTTTCTTTGAGTAATTTGTTTTTAACCAACAGAATATGTCAGCATTGAGGTAATGTCATTTCCATGACTAGGTTACAAAGAACTGGGACTTCTGTCATTCTAGCAGACTCACCCTTTTGTTGATTTTGATGAAGGCACCTGTTGTGTAAGTTAGGACCACATGGCAAAGAATTGAAAGTGGCCTCTGGCCAACAACCAGCAAGAGAAAAACAACTTTTAATGACCTGAATCCTACCAACAACCATGTAAGTGTGCAAGGAAGTTAATCTTTCTCCAGTTCAGTCTTCAGATGAGACCACTGCCCTGCCTGATACTTTGCAGTCTTGTGAGATAGTTTGATGTAGAGGGCCTGGTTGATGGATTAACTTGGAGGTAGGACAGGAAATATTATTACCTGTTCTAAATGTTTGAATGTTATTGATACAGAATAAATTAGGTTAATAGATCAGAACTTGAAAGCAGTGTTCAAGAATGACATATGCCACATTTCTTAGCAAATGGAATGTATCAGGGTGAGTATGGGAAAGTGAGTAACTCTTGTTTTGGAGCCAAGAAGAACTGTATTGTGGCTGATTTCTTAGTTCTCCCTGTTCTAACTTTTACTGTTGTGGCTGAAGACATCCAACATTCCTAAAGTTTACCTCCTTTTGTCATCCTGAGGTTTTTCAAGTCTAAGAAGTACTGGCATAATCTTAAAATAAGCACTTTTGTGGTTATTTTTTTTATTTCACTATGAGGACAACAAATAGCCACTATGGACTCTCAGGTCCTCTCTGATGAGTCATTTGTGAAATAATACTATTTCCTGCTCTCTCATGATGTCTTACACCTTAAATCTAAAGACAGTGAAGTTAAACATCCATTTATAGCATCCCTGAAAAGAATGGTGCAATTGACAAGAAAGACTACTTTTGTACCTAAATTAATTCTAATTAAAATGAGTGTTCCAACTTAAGCAGTTCCACATTCTGAATACATGTTAGCATTAATACTGTTCAGCTCTCAAGAATATAGACAACAAATTAGGGTTTAATTTTCATTTCCTTTTTGAAGTCTTCATTTTGAAAATGAGAATTTTGACCCTTTATTAAGGTATTACTACTATTTATATCATGTCACATATTATATCAGGTTGAACAACTTCCACATATTATCTCATTTAATACTGACAACAACTCCCAAAGATTGGTATTATTTCTATTTCAAGATAAGTGAAACTAGAGGGTAGATAAGTTCAGTGAATTTCCTAAGTTCATACTCCTATAGGTACTGGAGATGGGATTAAAACACAGGTTTGTGTGAATTTAAACTAAACTCTGCACTAGCAAAAATAGTAGCTATTTAGTCACCAACCTTTATTTTTTCTGAAATAAAATTCCCAGAAGGAAAATGAGCTCAGATGTTCTCTTGTTATTAATCTCAAACAGAGGATGGGAACTTAGATATCTTGTATGGAGCAGGGGGTTGAAGGGAAAACTTTGCTTTCAGACCAAAATGTAGCTAAATACAACCAGTTTACAAATTCTTTTTGAGTTGGGACGGCCGTAGGTAAACAATAAGGAAAGGAAGAAAAGAAAGCAATAGTCCTTAATTTGGTTAAGAAAACCCATTGAATTAAACTTCTACAAAGATATACTAAAGAAAATATTTTATAGAATAGGTAAATGATCTTCAACCATGATTTTAATTCTAAATGATTAAATAAATTATAAGACCAAACCAGAATACGTGGTTAGATGTGCATGAAAAATGAGAAAGAACATACTGAATGAAAGAAAAGCACACTGGACCAAATGACTTCTGGGCCATTATGGTGCATTATGGATTCTGCTAACAAGTCTGCATATGCAGTCAGTCAAGATCTGTTTTAGAAGAGAAGAATAGTCACAGCATACTCAGTCACCCAGATCTGGATAAAGAATGATTATTGCTGTACATAAGCCAAAATGAGGAAATACTTATTATCAACTAAAATAACTTTCATATGTTCAGAGAATTGCATAAACTCACTGGTTCAGGCCAACTATGGTGAAATTGTAATGTTCTTTCCACAAATAATAAACAAGAGTTGGTGATTCCAGCAGAGCAAGGCTACATCCTTAATCATGCCTGCACAAACTTTGACTAATTTTTGGGTGACTGATTAGCCTAAATGTATCAATGATTTAAGAACACCTTTGTATTTAGCCTTTATATTTGAGTAAGGCAATATTACAGAATAGAACATGCATGATCCTCAAAGGTTTGATAAACGGAGATATAATTCTGCCATGAGAGAAAGAAACGACTGCATTCAACATCTCTGCTTTTCTAAGTCCCCTTTTTAGACAGGAATAGAATGAAGAGGGAATGACAATATGATAGAAATTAAGACTTCACAGGGATCACCACATGCCAGTCACTATTATATACATTATAGATATTCTTTTAATTCTCATAACTATGGAATGAAATGGCTACTGTTATTCTCACTATTGTATAGATGAGGAAACAAAGGTACAGAAAATTAAAATAACTAGCTCTGGGTCACTTGGTTACTAATTGTCACAGCCTTGATTCTAATCCAGCAGTCGCACTGCAGTGTCTGTATTCTTAACCACCACACTTGTGGCTTTCAATGGTGTTGAAAGTGACCTTCAGGAGAAATATTATACATATGTGTATATATTTATATTTAAAATATTTTATAATAAATAAGCACACCTGATACATACATATGTATATATGAAACAAAATATCTTAAAATTACTCTTATTACCTGCTGTGAATTCTGATTTCAATTTATAAATAATGCTGCCTACAATCCCATAAATTGATTTATTATGGGTCACAACTTTCAGTTTGAGAAACATTTCACATGAAGGTAATGTTACCTTCAGGACAGATGAAAATTAATAGAAATGTTGTTCTGCAATTATCTCAAAGCAAGGCAAGAAAGTTTTATTTATCTGGCATGGATTGTGAAATGATCAACAAAACTGTATTTTCCAGGTACTTCTTAATAATTTCTTAATATTTTTTCTAAAACATATTTTGAGATTCTCTGAATTATTAACAAAACATGTCAAATATCATTTGAACTTTTTAAAATGACTACATGGGGATCAGAAGTTATCCTGTTGAATTATGGTCTAATTACTTCTATACGTAGACTACTGGGAAAGACTGTCCTCTTGCCCCTACACTGAGTAGCTTCATTGCTTTTCTGGTGATATTCATGCTGTCACTGCAGTTTGGTATGACTCACACATAATTCCTTCCCAGAAATGATATAACTTATTAAAAACAATAACAATTATTTATCTGTGGAGTTGCCATGACAACTGATGGAAGATACCAGGAAATTATTTTGATAATACTGGATAGAAGCTGAGAGCACCAATTTTGACTCTTGACTGCCAGGTTCTAACCCTACCTCCATCCTTTACAATCTGTGTAACCTTGGGCAAATTACTTAACCTCCTCAATCTCCTTATCTGTAAAATGAAGATAATAATCATATGTCATAAGGTTATTGTGAAGATTAAAGGAGCTAATATATATAAATCTCTTCAAGTAGTGCCTGGTATAAAGTAAGCATTATATAAATGTTCACTGTTATTATTTCCAGCCTTATAGTCAGTTGTGATTGTCAGCTTATGATTTGCTAACTATTATTATCTAGGAAGAACAAAGGATGAACGTTGCTAAATCTGAGATTCATCCAATAATTATTAGTTTATTAGTATTAGTTGAAATGTGTAATTACAAGTCCATTGGTACCAGATGAAACAATGTGTAGGTGGTGATACTAGGTCAGCTATTTCCCTTGCTGTTCAGATTGATTTTCTTTGATTATGTTCTAGACAGTCATAGCTATTGAAACCTGAGTTCTAGATAATTGGGGTATCTTATTACATATTGGTATTAATATTTTAAAAATTCAAACAAAGGCTTTCTCTGTGTTTTCCTGATAAGCAAAACAGAATGCAGCAAGTCTATAAAAACACTCATGAGGGGAGGAGACTCATGTAGACATCCTGGGGCTGGCTCTCAGAGGATCTCTGGAACATTTAGAATGCTACCCGATGCTTTTCTCTGGTGACCTAGTCACTCTAGAATCATAGCAGAAGATTTATTGGTTTGTTGCCAATGTTCTTTTCAGGAAACTTATATTATACATGAAGAATGCCATATTGGAATTTTAGGAGTACACGTTCTCTCATTAGTAATTCACTCAACTCTTCTACCTCTTTGAGCCAAAGTCACCCTGAAAAAAACAGGCTGGGTGGTTGATTTGTTTTGTTTTTAAATTTTAATTTCTTTCTTTTTTCTTTCTTTTTTTTAAAGACATGCAGCCTACGTTTTTGTTGGGGGCTTCCTAGGTACTAGATTCTGTGCTATGGGGTATTGAGTTTACTGAGTTTGGACAAGTGCCTGACTCCCAGCAGGGTTACAATAAATACTAATGTTGAGAGAAATGAACCCCATTCAATTTGCTGGAGTCTTCTCTCTTGCAACTGCTTTGAGGCCAAACACCCTTCCCCAGAGTACTGTTGTCATTTCCAAAGTGCTCTTTTGTTTGAAGATCTTCAGGAGTTCAGGAATTCCTTCACTTAGGAGCACCTTAAACTACCTTTCTTTTTCTTTTTTTCTTTTTTTTCCGAATTGGAGTCTCACTCTGTCGTCCAGACTGGAGTGAGGTGGCTGCGCCCCGGCCACCGAAGCCTAGACCTGCTGAGCTCAGGCCATCCTTCTGCCTCAGCCTTCCAAGTTGCTGGAACTACAGGCGGGTGCGCTACCACGCTCGGCTAGTTTTTGATTTATTGTAGAGAGGAGGTCTCGCCAAGTTGCCAGGGCAGGTCTCAAACCCCCAGGCCTCAGGCAATCCACTAACCTCAGCCTCCCAAAGCGCTGGGATTGCAGGCTGAGCCACCGAGTCCGGCTAGGCTGCCTTTCAATAAAGGTTATAACCTGCATGAATGCTGTCAGTCTACCAAAATATGGTAAAAGATATCTGTAAATGTCTTGGTTTATTATTATTGTCAAAAGTACTTGAACTATCCTATAAATAATAAAATGTCAAAGAGCATATTTGAAAAAGATTGGTAGACTTTTTTTTTTTTTTTTTTTGAGTTGGAGTCTCACTCTGTTGCCCAGACTGGAATGCAGTGGCTACTCCCAGCCACTGCAGCCTCGACCTGCTGGGCTCCGGCGATCCTTCTGCCTCGGCCTTCCAAGTAGCTGAAACTACAGGTGCACGCTATCACGCCTGGCTAATTTTTGTGACTTATGGTAGAGATGAGGTCTCACCAAGTTGCCCAGGCGGGTCTCGAACCCGCGGGCTCAGGCAATCCACTCACCTCAGCCTCCCAAAGGCGCGGGATTACAGGCTGAGCCACTGAACCCGGCTAACTTTTTTAAACCTATGTAATTGCCAAGTGATTATGAAACTACAAATACTCAGTTTCAAAAATAATATAGGTTATTAACAAAAAAGGCTTCAAACCAGTGATGAAAACCAGCAAAAAAATTAACAAAATATTTTCAATTGGACAGTACTGAATGTAAAGAATTCACATTCAAACTTGATTTCCTTCATGTTTCTCTGTGGAATTGAGGAAAGTACAGCTGTGAAGTCTTCCGCTTTGGCACTTATTGGTTTGGGGTTGAGA